TTTTGAGCCAAAGTGGATAGCTTTAGAGCGTCAGGTGGAATTTGAGAGACTTTAAGCTGTTTTCTTCTATATCACACTACCTTGCTGTGCTGAGGCCAGGGAAGTTGGATCAGGAATGAAACACCTGGAGTTTTTACACAGATTTCACACCGTCTAGGAAAACTGAATTTTTTGCTACTCATCTGGTTATGCAGAACCAGTAAAAACATCACTTGTTCAACCTTGAGCTGAATTCCATGGACATCAATACAGCTTTGTCTCCCTGCCACAGCCTCCCAGGCTGCCATGACACGTGGGTACTGATCCCACAGCACCTGCCACAAGCACCCAGGAGCAAGGCTCTTGGGGAGGTTTCAGCCACTGATACCTTGTGGGAAAAGAGCAAAAGGATGAATGGGATCATTTCTGCTACTCTGAGTGCAAGATCCTTGGGATAGGAGCTGTCTTTCTCTTCTGCTTTTGTCTGCCCATGAGGGCAATGGGCTTGGCAGAGGGGGGTCTCTAGTAATGCAAAGAACTTGCAAAAACCATCCACATCCATCCACATCACTGCTAACCCAATTCACAAGCGGCCACTCTTTAGGGCTTCTCTCGAGAGGGGTTTACTGATAAGAATACAGACGTACACGAATTTTTGTTTTCCCAAGGAAGTTCTTTTTCAGTCAGCCAGGCATCTAGCATGCCTCTGAATAAGATGGAGAGATGAGAAATCATAAATGATTAAGCTTCTGGATTGTGATTAAAGAAGCTTAAAGGTTGAGACAACTCATGCATTAGCCTGAAAAAATGTCAGTCAAGAAAGACATGAAGTAAAACTAAGGTGAGCTCAAAAGCAGGCATTGCCTACCATCTGTAAACTATCTTACTGAGATTTATTCTTGACTGTGTAAGTTGTTATCTTGGTGCGCAATCCAGGGAAAACAGAGCATCTCCTAACATCACTGACCACAGATGGGCAGGTTGACTGTGGTAGCCTACACAGAACCTGTTAGCGTTATGAACGATACCTGGTCCTGTGCTGGGACCTTGTCCAGGCAGCGGTGCACCAACTGGAAATTTGACTGGATTGTATTCGGTGAAGAACAAAATCTATACCTTTGTGGGCCACAGCTCATAGAGGTCATGAGTTAATATTAAGGAGAAGAAAGCAATAGGACACCACCTACTCCTTCCACAAAATTACAGCGGGAAGAATCTGGGTTTTGCCCCTTTAAATAGATGAGAGACACTTTCTTTCAGCTCTTGAAATGAGACAAGACAGACAATAGATGTTCCCCAGTGAAATGCTCCTAATGCTGACAACTGCTAAATGCATGTACTCTGTATAGGAAACCATCCGTACTCATTCCCACTCTAACTGAACAAATCACAGTTTCCTGACAAATGCAATTCAGAGGGCTGCTACGGTCTTTTCCATGGCCTGCCATCACAAACTGGGATGGCAAAAGTCATAAGGTACAGCAGGCTTAATAAGTCTGCAGCTGCGTCCTAACTCGCAGAGGGAACGATAGGACTGTGGGCAGGGAGATGCTGGGCCTGGGGTTGGGACCCGCAAGCCTGTGCTGCCGGAAGAGAGCTCTGCTGGCTGGAGCAAGGGAGCTAATGAAGCTGTTCATGCTCACAGGCACTGCCTATTAAACTGCCTATAACTAGTTTGACCAGGGTGCCCATGTCCTACAGCATAATAACCTGTCAGATAACGAGGAAAAGGCTGAATATCTCTTCTCCACCTGCTCTGTCAAAAACCAGTTAGTCAATCATCCGAAAAGGAACGGAGAGCAAAGACTCGTGTCTTTAGAATGTCATTTCCGCTTTCATTACCAGACACTGCTTGGAAATAAAGCTGATCTATATTGTCATTTGCCATCTGAATTATTAAACTATTTTTCCCCTTACCTCCCTTTCCCCCGGCTTCAGAGCTACAGTCAACAGCAACACTTCAGCTACTTCACAGAGGAAGGAGAGGGGGCTTTCCTATGGGTTGCTTCTGGGCTTGCAGAGTTACAATTGATGAGAGAAAAATGTCTGGTTCAACTATTCACTGAAGGACCAGGAAAAGAAGGAAAGGAGCATTTTTGACAGTGATTTTTTTTTTTTTTTACTTCCCAGATAGACAGATAAGCAGGCTACAATCAATCCTGAGGCCCAGTAGCTTTTAACCAAACTATTACATGCATGCCTACCTTCTTTGCATAAGTAACAATACTGCTTTCCCTTTGCATTTGTATATTTCTCTTCCACTTCCTAGCCAACAAGAAATAAATCATTTCTCTGATCCTAACTCAGCTTATTGGCCAACAAACAGTATTGACGACGTCAATGAATGAAGAAAGAGCAGACGAATTCACTAATCAACTCCTTGAGGAGAGTGCACAAAGAAAAAGCAATTTGGCCCTCTCGCGCCCCCCAGTACTGGTTTAATTTCACAGCCTGTCCACTCAAAACCTCCTACACAAGCTCAATAACACTCATTCTTCCAGATCTGCAGTCATGAATTTAACTGCAAAAAGATCCATAGAGAGAGAGGGGGAGATTTTTGAAACCTTTACAGGAATCTAAAATAGCTCTTTGATGCACAGCAGATGTCTTCAGAACCAACATAAATGGAGCCAAAATGCGTTACAGTTCTGGAAAAGGGAAATTCCAAGATAAGACAGATGTTTCCAACTGCAATAGTTTTGGGATAAATTTGGGATCTATATTAATTGCCAACCTCAAGGAAAACTTTTACATGGAGGCCTTGTGGCCCCCACTTTGGGACAAGTATCTTACTGGGCTATGTGCTGCACAAAGACTTGACATCTGCCTTAAAGCAGTTCCTCTGTAAGCATAAAGAGATAACAGATGGGTTGAGATGGGGGAAGGAGAGAGAGAGTGCAACAAGCAATGAGATACGGAGGTGACAGACTGGGGACTGCCTGCCCTTTATCCTGGGCTCTGGTTGGACAGGAAGGGCGTACCTGGTAGGCCTCACTGTAGAGGGAAGGTCTCAGGATGGACCTCATGGACAGTGAGATGGTGTTGATGGATGCTAACAGGTAATGCCTCCGAGACACACAGGACAGGAGAAAAAGTGGGAATGTGCACGCTGGAGAACCAAACAATGGGCCAGGGAAAACAGACACTGGAATCAAAGCAGGGATGGCAGTCCTGCTGTGTACCAGAGAGGACAGCTAGAGTGGAGCTTTGCTCTGAGGAGCCTTAAAAATGGAGAAAAGAAGTGTGTGTCTAATACAATTGAGTAGGCAGTGCAATTGGAAAAAAACACAAAGTACAAGCATGCAGCCAAAGTGATGAGTCAGGACAGGAATCTTCACATTACTGTTCTCCACAATGCATCTGATGTATATCAAATCTTAGCTTTCATGAGGTTTTAATCTGGTATCCCTGTAACTCCCTTAACTCAAACAATGTTAGGCTGTGCACACTGAACAGCTAGGAAATGGCTCCCACTTGAATACAAGAAAGAGTTAGGTGGAGGGGAGGACTGCAAGAATGATGCAGCAGTCAGATGGGAGATTCAGTAAGAAATAAATCTTAAAAAATTGCCTCTTGGAAGTTAGCGGATTGTAAATATATAACTTAATAAAAAGGGGGAAAATACATCCTGTCTCCTCACAGATCTCAATGGCACAGCCATGCTTAATATTGACAACAGCAGAAGAGGAAAGTCAGGTGCTTGAGGATGATACCACAAAGGAATAGCGCTTCCCTCATGAGCTCTGCTCCTCCCACCTTTCCCTGAAAGTTCTTCCCTGTCTTCTTTCTTTCTACGCTACAAGAAACGGGCCAGAAATATGAACTGCACATCTGGCTTTGAAATATGTGAAAGCTCAAGAGGACTTTGGTTTGGCTGAATGGATGAGACAGAAAATCTAAGTAGCCCAAATCTGAACCAAAGACCCCAGATGCAGGGGCATCTGGATGCAGCACTTGGATTGAGACTTGTTCCAATGTCTCTTTCTGCCTTTCTCCCTCTAATCTGTTTTTTGCAACCTTCTACCCCTTTCTGGCTGCTGGCTTGCAATAGTTAGCTCGGCTATCCCGAGCACAAGGAGGAAGCTTTTATTTTGCCTACCTCAAGCCCACTTTGACTCTGTGAACATATGAAGGTATCAAAGAACCTTATTCATACTGAGCTAATGAACATTTTCCCCACCCATTTTAGATGAAATAATATCTAATGGCAAAAGAACTCAGATGAAATTCTTGTTTCCTCAAAGGACTTGATGGAGAGGAGGAAAAGGAACCTACCTCTTGTTCTCTCGCTACTGATAAACCTTTAAGGGTGGAGCTTCCTTGCAACCCACACTGCTATCCCCACAGAGTCAGACTACTGAAAAGTACGTTCTCTTTCCAAGTTTGCCACGCCCTGGATCACGAAAGGTGCAGAAAAGGGGTTCTTTGTAGTAGAACAACGGTGGTGAGTTCTCATTTACTCTGTTTCTCCCTGCCCTTCGCTCACCTTGCAGGACAAACGCCTCCTTTGCCCATCTCACAAAACACCGGAAGACTGTCTGCCAAAGTAGGGAGTAGTATGAAATCATCTGTGCCACTGTTTGCCTCTCTGTTTTAAGGCAAAGCAGTGGGAAGTAAATTCCCTGGTTTCGGAAAGATCCTATTCTGTGTAGTATCTAAACAGAAATCCTTTCCCCCCCGGCAGCAGCAGTGTTTTTTTCTCCACTCCAGCAGTCTTTTTTCCTCCATGTGCATCACCACCAGTAAAGACTCAGACTATTAGATGAAGACCAAAGCTAAATGGAATTATAGGTCCAATTCCGCAGAGCTTCTACTGATGTAATTTCAGTTGTTCCTCGGGACAACCTGGTTACAAACCCTGGGAGACCACACTGTAAAGTACGCTTGCGGTGCATTTAAAGACCTTACTCCTTTTTTTACAGCTGCCTCAGTGGCTACTGAAATTTTCTCTTGATGCTAGAAAAGGAGAAGACTACTGTATAGTTCACAAATCACCAGCATAGTACAAATGGGTCACTTACCTGTCGGGGTGAGGTGCCTCCAGGTGATGACAGGCTCAGGACGCCCATTTGCCATGCAAACCAGGGTCACATTGCTGCCTTCATTCACGGTGATGTCCGAGGAGATATTGGAGATCTTTGGTGGAACTGTGAAGACAAAACAAATTTGGACCTCATTACCCAGAGTTCGGGGGGTGGGGGGGGGGGGGGAGGGGTAAGCAGCTGGTCTGACTCATTAACCTACCTACTCGTTAACCAGAGGCAGCTATGGGCTTCTCTCACAGGCTGTACTCCTCGCTACTACTATGATTTTTGAAAGTCTGTCAATGCCCCAAGTACAGGAGCCCAGCCTCTCAATGGCCAAGAAAATCTATTCATGCACATCATTCTTTTGATGATGCAGAAATGTAAAGAAAAAAATGCAGAAAGTTATAGTGAACAGCGCTTTGCTTTCAGGAGTGTGCACAGGGTGAAGCAGCCAGGAGGGGGAAAGGAAAAATGGAGCAGAGATACAGACAAGGTTACGCTGAGTCAGTAAGTACTGAAAAAGCATGGCCTTCTTGCCTCAGGAAAGCTGCCTGCATTGACTAAGGATAGAGCTAACAGAATGCCTCAAAAACCCAGCAGCGCTAACTTCTGTGGTGACTCAGTAATGGGAAACCAGCACAGCTCACATGAAACTTTCACAATGAGGGGACTGAAATGGTATAATCAGGAAAGCATCCTTGCCCCATACTTGCTCTAGTTAGTTTCTGTCCTCAATTTCCTCCTCTGGGAATTGTCTCACAAGGGTACCACAGCTCTAAAGAACTACAGGTAGAAATGGCTTTTGCTGCAACTGTGACACTTTGTGCTTGGAAAGGTTTGGAGCCTCCATAAACTAACCTGTAAGAACTTGTTCGAGTGCCCCAAGGAGGCCTGGAAAGAGTAGGCAGGCTCCATGCGCTGTCCCTGCTCTCCTAATTAATTTTTACATTCCAAGTAGTCTCAGATGCATTTCTACTTCCTCCTGCAGAGCATCAGGCCTAGAGGCACAAACTTCCAAACATGCATCAGGCACAGATTCAGACGGTATATTCATTATTGTTACCTCCCTCAAGCACCTCCAAGCCATGCTGCTAGCAAGGGTCCTGTTCTACTGCTCATGTAACTAAATGTCCACACGGAAATGAACCAGAGAACTGTAAAACTCATTTCTGCTGTGACTTCTGTGATGTGCTCAGAAGCCAGGACTCATGCCACGACTAACGGGAGCTATGCTGCAAGAAGGTTCAATGGATGAGAGTGGGAAGATTTCCGTGACATCTTTGAGCCTTGTGGGAGTCCCCTGTGGGCCGCTCACTCTATGTAGCTTCTACTTGGATACAGAAGGTATTGGCTAACTGCACAGCATAGCACAAAAAGCATGGTAGGGTCTTTAACAATTCCAGGGAACGGACATGGCTCAGGTTTCCAGGGCCCTTAAAGATCCTCCACTGAGCTAACTTAGTTGTGTACTGTGGCAATCTGAGGGACTGACCTGATCCTGCTGGGATTTGAACTTGTGACTCCAGGTACAGAGAGTATCTGGTGTTTCAGTCTCTAAGCCTTCCCCCAAGGCAGAACAGGCTGTTCCAATCTTTCCGTTCTCACATTAATGTCTCGCTTCCATGCTTCATACTCAGGAGGAGGTGAGGGAGTTGAACTAAAAAGGAATCTTTTTTTTTTCAGCTTCCGAATTTGTGTGTAGCGAGGAATGAAACAAGATCATTTTCTGCTTTGCTTACCACAAAGTAAACAGACAGAAAACCCCCCTTCCCCCTTCTTGGCAGGAGTGGTTGATGGTCCTTTTGAGGTGAAGCTAGATGAGGAAAAGGAAATGAAGCCTACAGAGAGCACCTCACTTCTACCTGTGTCGCTGGATTCACAAGAATATTGTTTATAACCCACAGCTCATTAGCCCCTCTCTGTGGGCCCCAAACTCATGGACAGGACTTCAGCCTCTATGACCACAGGATCCTCCTGGAGGAACAGGTGCTTCTGAGCAGGGACAGGGTCTATCTAACAAAGTGAGGCAAAAGTGTCTGCCAAAAGGCTTGCTAACCTTGGTGAGAAGAGATTTAAACGAGGTGTATCAGGGAAGGATTGCCCTAACCTGGAGGGAAGTGACAGCACAGCGGGCAGTGAAGGAAGCAGCCTGGGGCCAAAACAGCAGGAGAGACTTCCGTGCTCCCCTTGTGAGCAGGCAGCTGGGGGGCCATCTCAAGCACCTGTTCACAAATGCAGGCAGCATGGTGAACAAACCAGAGGAATTAGAAGTGCATGCAGATTTGCAGAACTATGAACTCATTGGAATTACACAGACATGGTGGGATGGCTCACAGGACTGGCATGCTGTAAGGGGTGGATACAGGGGTGGATACAGGAAAGGCAGGCTGGAAAGGCAAAGGAAGAGAGGTGTGCTCCGTACAAAGGAGTGACTGGAGTGTACAGAGCTCTTCCTTGGAAGTGACAATGAACTAGCTGGGATCTTATGGGTAAGGATCAGCAGGTATCGCAATGTCACTCGTGATAGTCAGTGTGTCTGCTACCAACCATCTGATTAAGAAGTAGTAGTAGATGAAGCCTACTTTAGACAGATAGAAGAGGCTTCACAATCACAAGCCCTGGTACTAACAGGGGAATTCAGCCACCCTGATATTTACTGGAAGGACTCAAGAACTCCAGAAGATTTCTAGAGCTTGTTGATGACAATTTCTTGTTGCAGGTGATCAACAAGCAGACTAGGAGAGATGCTCTTCTGGACCTACTGCTCACGAGCAAGGAAAGCTGCCTGAAGACGTGAAGGATGTGACGATGCGGGCTGCAGTGACCATGAGACTGTGGAGCTTAAGATTCTAAGAGAAGCGAGTATGACAAATTCTAGAATCACATCCCTGGACTTCAGGAGAGGAGACCTCAGTTCATCCAGGGATCATCTTGGAAAGATCCAATGGAAAACTACCCAAGAGAACAAAGGGGCCCAAGAAAGCTGGAGATCTTCAAGGACAGCTTCTACAAAGCACAAGAACAGGCCACTCGGGCTGCATCCAAAGGTGCTGAGGGAGCCAAACAGTCTTTCCTCCCTATCACCTTTACCCTCTCTCATCTGTGAAAGGTCATGGTGACCGTGGGAGATTCCTTATGACTGGAAAAAGGCTAGTGTCACACCCATCTTCAAGATAGGCAAAAAGGAAGAACCAGGGAAATACAGGCTGGTCGCCTAACCTCACTCCCTGAGGAAGTTATGAAGCATATCCTCCTCAAAGCCACTGCCAGCCACACAAAGGACAAGAACATGACAAGAAATAGCTAGCATGGATTTACCAAGCACAAATCATGCCTGACTAACTTGATTGCCTTCTACAGTGTGATGACTGACTGTCATCACTGATAAGAGGAGAGCAGTGGATGTTATATATCTTGACTTCAGCAAGGGCTTTGACCCAGGCTCCTATAGTACTCTTACAGCTAAATTCATAGGCGACAGAGTGGAGAAATGGATAACAGGTGGGTGAAACGAGTAATTGGCTGGACTGTTGGACTCAAACAGTGGTGATTTAGCAGCACCAAGTCCTACTAGCAGCTGGTTAGTAGTGGTGTCTCCCAAGGATAGAACCTGGAGCCAAGACTGTTTAACATCTTTATTAACAATCCAGATGACAGGAGAGAGTATATCTTCAGCAAGTATGTGTACGATACCAAATTGGTAGAGAGTAGTCTATATGCTGGATGGCAGGGCTGTTATTCAGAAGGATCTCAACATGTTGGAAAGAATGGGCTGACAGGGACCTCATGTAGTTCAACAAAGGCAAATGTAGAGTCCTGCACCTGGTCTGGAACACCACCAATAAGAGTAGTACAGGCTAGGGATTGCAGGCTACAAAGCAGCCTTGCAGAAAAAGACTTGGGGGTCCCTGGTCAACAGCAAGTTGAGTATGAGTCAGCAATGTACCCTTGTAGCAAACATCAATCACATCCTGCGCTGTACTAGCAAGAGTGTAGCCCAAGGGCAGACAGAAGTGATTATATCCTTTTACTTTGTGCTTATGAGAGAATCTGAAGCACTGTGCCCAGTTTTGGACTCCCTGACACAAGGTCATCGATATACTGGAGCAAGTCCACCTGAGGGATCCCAAGATGGTCATGGGGCTGGAGCACACGACGTACAAGGAAGGCCTGAGAGAGCTCAGTCTGTTTAGCCATAAGAAGAAAAGGCTGATGGGAGACCTTGTTGCTGTCTACAAATACTTAATGGGAGGGTGCAGAGGAGACAGAGTCATGCTCTTCTCAGAATGCACAGTGGAATGGTGAAAAGCAGCAGACAGAAGTTGCAACACAGGAAAATTCTGCCTTAATATAAGGGAGAAACTTTTACTATGGGGGATGTCAAACATGTGAACAGGTTCCTCAGAGAGGTGGTAGAACCTCCACCCTCAGAGATATTTAGAACTCATCTGGACAAGCCACTGAGCAGTCTGGTCTAACTGAAACCAGGGAGCAAGGAGGAGTGAACTTGGAAGTTAGCTTGCTGCTTCAGAGTTAAAATTGATGGCTGATAAACTCATGGTGAGGCAACCGAATCAAGGCATTTTGGGAAACTGATTAACTGCACCTGAGCCCCCTTCCTTTAGAGGGAAGAAATTTCAGAGTAGGGATACCTGCCTACCAGCACAATACTGGGTAGCAAAGCACAGCAGAAAATCATCCTGTTCCTTTCAAAGCAAAATCCACTGACAAAAATAAGCCCTAATACATTTTACGTTGATGATTCACTGTGAGCCATCAGTAGTGTGTCTATGTACTTGGGAAGAGGTAGGAGGGGACAGAACAAAACAGAATAAACAAGCATTGCTGGAAAACGATGATGATGTCAGAGAATTCGATCCCACCATGTTGAGGAGTATATGAGTTTCACTAACTGTAAGAGAAAACTATTTCCTACCTCCTCCTCCTTTATTAAACACCCAGACCTGGAGTTCGACATAGCAAATGCCTGACAGTATGAAAAAAAACAGTCACACGGTGGCCTCAAAGTGAGCAAATACCTTCAGCAACAGATACCCCAAGACTGCATATAGGGCAGCAGAAAGGGAATATGCCAGGAACACCCTGCCGAGCTGCAGGCT